CTGACGCTGAGAGTCATTAAAGTAAGCAGGTACTGTGACAACAGCATTGGTAACAGTCTGGGAATAAAAATCGAAAAGATTAAAGCCAAAACATTGCAGCTGGTTCATAAAATAGTCCCACAATCACATTTGTCTACTTGGGCATGCACTCAAGTTACAGCACCAAATTACGGAAACGTTCTGAAAAACGTTATCACCTAGTTTGACAGCTAACTACTGTGTATTCTCTGCCAGCCAAAACCCCAACTTTATTCCTCAGGGAACCTGGTGCCTAACGTTGCAACCTCCAGCTATGTCCTCTGCCTGTTAATACTGTGCATTACTCACCTTCCCAAGGTAGGCTTCTGCGATTTCCTTCATCTTTGTCAAAACCATAGACGACACCTCCTCTGGATAGAAACTTTTTGTCTCTCCCTTGTATTCTACTTGGACCTTGGGCCTGCCTGCATCATTCACCACCATGAAGGGCCAATGCTTCATATCAGACTGGACAACAGCATCATCAAATCTACGTCCAATCAGACGTTTGGCATCTGTAAACAGTTATCAAATGCAAATAGCTTGTTACCTCGAATTACCTTACACTCCACAGCAGTAAACAGATTTAACTCCTATACAGCCAAAAGTTCATCCAAGTTTTTTCTCGCTGCTACTAAATATCTCAGCTTTCTATCCTGAACAGTTACAAGATGATAATCATTCAAGACTTAAAATTAGCTTTCCCTGTTCTCAGGGATTTCACGGCTGCCTCTTATTTGACAAATTTCTCCGAGTCTCTCAAATTACATGCTGCCTAAACCCCTGAAACGTATGCTGTGGTATTTAAAATCAGTGGCTCACCAAAAACCGTGTTGGTCGGGTTCATTGCAACTTGGTTCTTTGCGGCATCACCGATCAATCGTTCCGTGTCAGTAAAAGCGACATAGCTCGGGGTGGTTCGGTTTCCTTGATCATTGGCTATTATTTCCACTTTTCCATGCTGGAAAACACCCACACACGAGTAGGTGGTGCCAAGATCAATGCCAACTGCAGGTCCCTTAGACATGGTTGCTGGCGAGGAAAAAAAAAGCCCGTGGTTTGTAAAACCAATTAAGCGACAGAAATGTTTACCCAAGTCAGGCTATCACGTACGATCACCGTGGCAAATAAAACTACACCTGGCACCTCCCTCAGAAACACTGCCCGTGTCCAAGATAACCACGCGGGAAGGTTCGAGCAGCAATGCTGCAGCGAGGTTGCCGTGCCAACGCAGAAGAGCCCGCCCCTGGCTGGAGCCAGCACCTGCCCGGAGGGTCTGCGACATTCTGGAGCACGTGGTACCAAGCTCCGAGCTGAACCTCATCCCTCCTTTCCCCACACCGGCAGTCCAGGAGCACCAGGACGCCGCCGGCCTCGCAGTGCTCCGAAGCCCCCTCCCCCACCTTGGGCGCATGCCAAGGCTGGTTTCCTCCTTTAAGGATTAGCTACAAAGCGGCAGCCTGGAGCAGCCCGAAACGGACAGCTCTAAGGCGCGAGCTCCACTTCCCGCACCCCGAAAGCGGATGCGGCTCCCTCCACGTCCCCGCGGGCGCCGCCCTGCCAGCCCTTCACGTCCTCGTCCCGACAGCAGCCACAGCGGCCGCCTCACGTCTGGAATAAACCTTACAGACGGCTCCCCGCACGCCGCCTACGAGACACGCTCTGGAACCCCAGACCACCCGGCCGCCCCAGGCCGCACGCTCTTCTCACTACCCACTAGGTCTTTTGAGGTCAGAGGCCTTACCTTGAGCGTAGACCGGCTCAGGCTGCGAAAACGACGCGAACCTAGAAAGCTGCAGCCGCGTTCAATGAGACCGGATTCCGGCCGCCACCCTGTCTCTTATACCCTACCTCAGAACCTTCCAGAAGGGGCCCGCCCCTGCCGGCTGCCCGTCATGGCGCCCTCGACCAATGAGCGCGCGGCTACCTCTCCAAGCCCCAATGACTGACCGACTCTACCTCCGGCCTCGCCCCATCCCGCCCCGCCTCGCGATGACGCACTCACCCCAGCGTTCTGGAACTTTCATTCTCGCCCCCGCTCTCCGAACGGCCCGGGGGAAAGGGAGGGTGGGGCCGAGAGAGCCCGCGCGCGGGAGTCCTCAGTCACCCCCGGCGGGGGTCGGGAGCGTCCGCCTCTGCGCATGCGCTAGCCCGAGCGCACATGCGGGAGGGGACGGAAGGAGGAGAAGGCAGAGGGGCGGGCGAAGTTGGAACCAACCAATGACAGCAGCTCTAGCCGCGCTCTGTATCCGTGCGGAATCGGGGGAGGAAGAGCGCCGCGCCTGGAGGGCGGGACCGGAGCCGGCGGCCCGGGAGAGAAGACGGAAGTGGAGCGAGGACAAAATGGCCGCGAAGGTTGTTGCGCCCCTCCCCCCCGCCCCGAGTCTTCATCCTCTTCCTTCAGCTGTCCCCCAGCATTGTGAACAGGGTCTAGGCCCTCCCAGGGTCCGCATACCCACATTTCGTAGCTAGCATGGCTTTGGGCGAGGGCTGACCCCGAGCGGCTGGGGCGAAAGGCTGCGACCTCAGGGTGCAGCTAGGAGTATCTCGCCTGCGGATACCCGGATCTGGGGTCGGCGGGAGTCGCCCGGCCGTTGCAGGGCCCCGCCTCCGCTTCTGCGTGGGGTGGGACAGGTGAGCCGGGCAGGCCCCTAGAACCTTCGGTTCACTGTGGCGGCTGGAGGTCGGCAGCCCCGCCGCGGAGGTTTGCGGGTCCGACTTTTGACCCCCAACGCCCGATCCTGTGTCGGGACCCCCAGCGAAATAAACGGCCACACCAGCTTCTTCGCGCCGGGCCTCCACCGCCCGCCGAGAACCGATTCGGCTCCTTGGTTTCCCCCTCCTCCCCTCGTCAGGCCCCGCAGCTCTCAGTTATTTGTAGAAGACAAGGCAAGGGAGTCGAGCTTTTCCTATGTTGGTGAACCGGGCGTCAGGAACCTGGGTTCCAGTAGCCTGTGTCCTTGATTACGACTTTCTGAGCCTGCCTTCTTTTCAGTAACATGAGGTAATACTTTTCCTGCCTTGACTTTTTATTGAGAACTAAACGAGAGGCCGTGCGGAGACGCCTTGAAAGCGTTACTGAACGAGTGCGCAAAACGGTAGTATCCAGAATTTGAAATTGTGGTGCGCGGCGGCAGGTGTTTGGCGCCTTGGCGTGCTAAGAGCCTTTCTCAGGACCTTGAATGCTAGCCGATGCCTTCTTTCAAACAGGCGGGGCAGCTCATGTGCCTGCTTAATAGGTAAGGAGGCACAGATAGGTGAAAAGATTTTTTAAGACTACGTAACTTTTAGTGGCGTGGTTGGAATTAGAAACGTCCCCAGACTGCGGAAAAGGCTGTCAGAAGAGTGAGGACACATTTTCCTTGTGAAAGCCAGTAAAGCCTAGAAAGAGACTGAAACATAAAGAATTTTCTTTCTGTGTTTGCTTTTGGTGGGAACCGTTGGCTTGAGTCCATGGGCGTAGATACTTCCGCACTTCTCAAGAAGTTAATTTTATGTGATGTTTTTACAAAGTATTAAGTGCTTTCATTTAGCACATTTAACCATCAGAACAATTCTTTGAGATATATATTATTCACCCTATGTTAGGAGAAAAATGTGATTCAGAGATGTTATAAACAGCTGGCTGAGCTGCAATCGAACTCTTGATTCCAGAATGTTTGGTCTTTTTTATTAGTTACGCTACGGTGTAATTTCCTTTTTAAAAACACACGTGCTTCCAACTTCAGAAAGAGAAAGATGTGTACTGTGGGAGGCTCTTCTCAGTTTTCCTTGGTATCTACAGTTTTTTCCCCACTCAACTTATCAAATACAATCTGAACTACACCCCACATTTTGCAGCTTCTGTAACTAACCTCTGAACTACCTAGAATATTGTAACCACTGAACCAGTGGAAAACAGAACTCGGGTCCAGATCCACTGGTTTGGGGTATCCCACCTAATAGCAGTGATTAAAGAAAGTGGAACAGGCAACTTCTGTTTCTGGTCACTCTCAGAGTGTGTTCCAGGACTTGGACTATGTCCTTGTTAAATAGAATGATTCAGAGTTTACATATTTGCAGTTAAGAATATGATGAATATCCTGTCTCCACCTCTTTAAGTGGAAGGGGTTTCAAACACAATCAGGATCTGAAAGTCTGGATGTATGGATGATGGATGCAGTGCAGGAGTCTGAGGTCTAGAGTTTCTGGGGAATAGGGTCATGATTAACATTTTAGTACCTGTCACATGCCAAGCACTGTCGTAAGTGCTTTGCATAAATTACCCCATTTAATTCTGTGAAGTGTTTTTTTGGATTTATTTGAATCTCTTGGTGTTTACTTTTCTTTTCTTTTTAAAGATTTTGTTTTATCCTTTTTCTCCTCAAAGCCCCCCAGTACATAGTTGTATATTCTTCGTTGTGGGTCCTTCTAGTTGTGGCATGTGGGCCGCTGCCTCAGCGTGGTTTGATGAGCAGTGCCATGTCCGCGCCCAGGATTCGAACCAACGAAACACTGGGCCGCCTGCAGCGGAGCAGAGCGGGCGACCTTAACCACTCGGCGGCGGGCCTAGCCCCTGTGTTTACTTTTCTGTTGCTACTTCATCTTGGCATAAAATACTTGCTTAGTATATAGTGTTTGTTATTTTGATAAAGTTCTTAAGGGCAGGAACTCTCATGAACACTGTCATCATTTAGTATCTCCAGTACTACATAGAATCTTGCCATGTGAGAAAAAAGTACTTGGTATATTTGTGACTGAAATCAATAAATAATAGGTCGTACTCAGTCTGAGTTGTGTTCTTCACTTGGCAGCAAGCTAATAAACAAATTTCCAGTTCAGCTTATATGAGCTTCAGCCTCCTAAAGTATCGCCTTTACTTATTTTTTAATTGCTGATACAGATGCATCTGTAATAAATATTTGGTTTTTGCAATCAAACATAGGCCCAATTACAAGGCAACTTAGAAGTTAAAATTGAAATATAAAGTTTAACACCAGAAATGAAGCAAAATTAGGTCTTTTTGCAATAGCAATTCTGAAATTATTTTTACACAGTGTAACAACAAAGGCATCAACTTCATTATTTTACAATTTTAAGTTTGGTTTATATATTTTATTGAAATGGTTATTCTCTAAACATCCACATCATTCCATTTGTATTTTCTTCCTACAAACATTTTTTCTTTCACCATTTGTTTTATCCCTCTTGTTTGTTTGTTTCATATTAAAGAATCAGAGTTAGTTGATTTGCAAGTTAATGGAATATGGTTTGAACCAGTTTGAACCAGTCCTGACCCTGTCATATCTGAACCCAAAAGCCTGACTCAAAGAGAAGTGCACTATCATTGCTGAGGCTTCAGCACCTTATCTCTCAGAATCTCCAATTCCTAGAATTTCTCAGATTTTAGGTAGTAATCTGTTTTGTGACTTTTTGTAGATTTCCAGTGTGAATAGATTTCAGAATAATCTGGATATTCAACTGGTATTTTCGTTTTCTAATAACTAACATGTTAAAAAATCTAAACCTCCTTTTCATGCATAGCAAACTGTTTCCTGCTTTCAAGGGCATAGGCAGGAAACCTTAGGTTCAAAGGTAGTAAATAATGATAAGAGCACATTGCTAGTGATGGTACAGCTGCAGCCTCCACAGTGTACTTGTCTGATAATGTTGCCTGAATACCATACTACCAGAAAAATAAAAAAGTAGAGTAAGGCGTTTTATATCTTACAATGAGGCAGTTAGTATAAGAAGCATTCCAAATATGCCAGCCCTCTTAGATTGAACTAATAGCAGACATTCTTTACATTACTTCCTCAATGTGTCTTATTTGCCACCTTTGTTTTTAGAGGAAGACAAAACTCAGATGAAAACTTTCACCCAAGGATAAACCCCTATTTCTTAAAGGACTTTAGAAGGAAATGCATTTGCACTATTTGAGGGCACTATTGTGAGAATTAAATGTAGAAATAGATAACGAGAAATGGGGCAAAATCCCAGATCAGCCTTTTCCCTTTAAGCATCTGATTTCTATTTTAGAAACAATGCTTTCATCACCATATTCGGCATTATATTTTCTTTCCTATAGCCTGCTGCCCTTTTAATAATAATAAATATTTTGCTCTCCCAATGGCGATCTGTTGACATTTGCACTAGGGTCCATGAAGAGTTATTTCAGATTTAGTGTTCTTGCCATAGGATGCATTTGACTAGCAGAGTAGTCAAAACTATTAAGAAAACAAGTTATTGTATTGGAGGCTGCTGCTACCTTTTTATTTTTCAAACACCTTCCTTCCATGAATCAGCTCTTCTGAGAGCTGTCGTGGTGAATCATTTCTGCTAATTCTTCCCAAGAGGCTGACAATTAAAATGTTAACAAGTACTAACCTAGCCCTCTCCTGCCACCCACCAGTTATCCTCATCATCTCTTCCCTAAATGTTAATTCTCTTTCCTTCCAGCCCAGAGCTAGACTTCCTTAGAGGCTAAGCTGGGAAAATACTGAATTTCTTCCTGTCTAGCGTCTCAGGAGGGAATGATTATGACATGCGATGCCATTAGAAAACGTTGGTAGTCCCTGATCTTTTTGATAACTTAAGGCTGAGAATCATCAAAAGTCCCAGGTTCTCATCCTTCTCCTAAAATGAAAGAAGTGGAGGAATCTCCAAATTTGGTGCAATACTAAACTTCCTTATACCACTCCTTTACAAAGTAAGAAAAAACTGATCTAATTTCCCCTTTTAGTCTAGTCAATCTTGAAATTCTGATTTCATATGTTCTCAGAAAGAAGAGAATATAATGGTATGTCAGATGATCTGTCAGCATCTTTAAAAGATCTCTTTTTCTCTAGAATACTTCTAAGGACATTGTTAAATGACATATAGTGAATGTTTTCTTGCTCCAGAGATATCTAGCAGGGAAGTCCTTAGAGACTTCTGATTTGAGGGAAAATCCACAATTGTTCCAGTATATATTTCTGATATTTGTCAGTGACCCTCTGAACATCATTAAGATGGAAAGTTCTTCATAGTCCCTTGTCAAACATTTTGGACACCTTTTTTGGTTCCTTACAGTTCAATGTAAGTAGGAAGATTAGTAGTGGATAGAGTGGGAGAAGCTCATTCATTCTTTTCCATCTCCCACTATGTGAACTTCTCTTGAAGTTAGTATTCAAACCTTATGGTAAATGAAGTCAAGTCAGAATAGAAGAGATACGTCTCCTTTTTGGAGTTTCTCAGAAGCGGTAAGCCCAGTACATGGTGCAAATAGGTATAATATAAGGCTGTGAGTTCTGCTTGACTCTGAATACTCACAATAATCCAGTAGGTTTGCAGAAATGCATAGAAAATTTATGAACAATACATCATTTCTTCTTGACAATGGTGAATCGAAGTATTGATACAAAACATCTCAGGTGAGAAGTTTCAAGTGTGTTCACTTCCCTTTTCCCCAGCCTTTCTCACCACAGGTCCTGGTCAACAAATGCACAGATTTGGACTCCTGCTTTCCCCGACTGTAATCTACAGACACAAGTAGATTCCTTTTTGGAGATGATCGGCTTCCATCTTTTTTCTTGTTTCTTGTCATATAAGGAAAGTGCTCATTTGAATCTGTTCCATGCAATGCTCACTACTACTTAAATGACCTCTCATCTGGTTCAAAGGGGTTGTGTGCCTGGTGACTGAGCTTCAATGACTAGAATAGTCCTAAGATCCTGACTCCTAGGAAAGCACGGGAGTCAAGTCCACTCTAATTCAGACAGTTTGGAAGGCTCTGCTCTGGCTGGGGATCATGCTGGGTGTGGTTTCTGCTTTGGTCAGGGTAGCATGGTGGACCTTCTTTGGCTCCGAACCTCTCATCTCTGGCCTCACTAGGCTGTATGCGTGGGTGGCCAGCCCTGGCTGGGGTGGTGCTTCAGTTGACAGTGTCTGCTGACTGCGTGAGGCACTATTTGCTGTGGAGCGAGTGGAGGAAGAACCAGAGCGTGAGCTCCGAGAGCCTGAGGAAGAGGAACTAGGTTTCACAAGGCGAGCTTTTGGGGCTTCGGCATCTTCTCTGAAGAGGAAAAACAGCAAAGATAAATTTTAATACTGGCAGGACTCTGATAGCTTCCACTATGGTTGCTTCCCTCTGAGGTTCCCCAATAAATTCCCCAAGCTGTAAAACCTCAAATAATACCTGTGGAAGGCAGCCATTTAGGGAAATAGGGACTTTGCCATTTCCCGAGACTTAATGGTTGGCTTAGGCAAACGTATGTTTTCTTAGCCCAAGGGTCAATCCTGTTATTCTGGAAGAATGTGCACTCACCAGTGAGATGGTCTAGGCAGCACTCCCCTTGGTTTGGGGTTTCTCTACGGAAACCCTTTCATGGCCTGTAGGCTATGCCCATTCTTTATTGTATGCCCTTTATAAGCAGAAGTGAATCAGAAGTAACGTAAAGTTGATCCTTTTAAGCCTCTGTGGAGGATAGATAGTTTCACAATGAAGTTGAGGTAAACTAGACCTTCTGTCCCTAGGCTGGAACTCCTTACCTACCAGAATAATTCTTTTAACGGACTCATGGTTAAGAGGAAAGGAGACATTTATGTTGGCTGATCACTGTGGAGCTGGCCGTAGAAAGGAAGCCTAGTGGAAGAGGGGATTTTGGAGGGAGGTTTACCGAATTTCATTAGGTCTCTCTTCTTCCTCATATCTTTCTTTGTCTTTCCTTCGGATTAGCAGCCACACCAAGAGGAAAATCAGCAGGGCTCCAGCCACCATGCCTGTCACTGCTCCTGCAACCATGCCGATGCTTGGTACATCTATTTTCTCAGAAACAAAAGCAAAAGTAAAACCAAACATAAGCTAGGAAATATATGAACTTAAAAATCATAAGTCCTGGACAGGATGAGTATTTCCAGGTCTTTATATCTAGCTTCCTGAGTTCCCTGTTTACCCTTTCGTGGTATACAACTATCCCTCTTGATATTGAAGAGTAGCAGAATATGCCACCTCAAAATATGCGTCTTTGATAGTAGGATTATTTTAAGCTGATGATTATTATTTTTTTGAGGAAGATTAGCCCTGAGCTAACTGATGCCAGTCCTCCTCTTTTTGCTGAGGAAGACTGGTCCTGAGCTAACATACGTGCCCGTCTTCCTCTACTTTATGTGTGGGATGCCTGCCAGAGCATGACTTTGCCAAGTGGTGCTATGTCTGCACCCGGGATCCAAACCTGCGAACCCCAGGCCACCAAAGCAGAACATGCGCACTTAATCACTGCACCACTGGGCTGGCCCCTTAAGCTGATTATTTTTGAAAAGCAGCAGACAGGAGAAGTTTTGAAAAGAGAAGTTACCCTTTTGTAAACAAAATTTACATTTATAAAGGAAATCTCCATTTGGTCCCCTCCTAGATGTAATAAATTTCTTTAGGGGACTGGTAAATTCACACATCTATGTAAATATAGAGTTAGCTACAACTGTTGAGTGGTCCTTGCAACTACTGCATTTATTTTAGTGCTACCCATGTTCTTCTGGAAATAAAGATTTTGACCTTGACTTTACTCTTACTTGTTATTAAAAATGTTTTACACTGAACCACAATGCAAAAACAAAAACAAACCTTTTGGATACTTACACTGTACAGTCACTCGCACCACACAGCTTTCCTTCCCAGCCTCATTGCCTGCTGTGCACTGGTAGAGTCCAGAGGAGGACATAGTGAGGTTCTGCAGCAGAACATGTCCGGGGTTGTTGTAGTCTACACAAGCAGAAAGAATGACTAATCCCCTTAGTGACAGGATCTATATTGTTTACTTTATTGCATCATTGACTTAAGATTCTCTAATAAAATTTGGTAAGGGTGAGATGATAGAATGTGGGAAGAAGGGTGAACATTCCTTTAAATTGTAGTGCATCCTCAAAAATTACAAAATATTGTGAACATTTAAGGGATAAACATAATGAGATATAATGGATTTATATAATACATTTCTTCTAAATCTCTTTTACCACTTTTAAGTACCATTTGAGGAGAGAAAACAGATTTTTGTGTCCCAGTTTACAGATGAAAAATGGAAGTTCAATGAAGTTCAGCAGTGTATTCAAGGTCACATGGTGAGTTGCTGACAAGACCGGATTTAGACTTCATAGGTAGAGTACTGTTCTGCTGTCTCAGTAGACTGACAGAAAGATGACTTACCAATCCTAGATTTGGGAGGCAGGTGTTCATCCTCTCCCTCCTTCTCTCGGATTCGCTGCCAGTAATACACAATGGGCTTTGTGCCAGAGGATGACTCACATTGCAAAGTCAGGTCACTTCCTTCTGTCAGCTCTCCTTCCAGTTCACACTTGGGCTTTGATGGTCTCACTGGCCAAAAACGAAGAAACATTCAAAGATCCCTAAACAATAGGTCACTGGAAGAACTATGTCCTGTTAAATTATTTCTCCAGCCATCCCTATGGTCAGCTTGTTGGGATTCAGTAGCCTTTTGCTACCTAGCCATGCTTTACATCACCTGCAGAAACGCAGCCAGCTCCATCCCCTGCACACATAAACACCCAATTCCAGCTGCTTCCAGTGGTGCTGTTGTAGTTTTCAGAGGCTTCTCAAAGAATAGATACTGTACTTCTCAAAGAACAGATACTTTTTTAATTGGAAATTTTAAGAAAGTTGAGTGTGATTTTACTAATAGTGAAACAGGGATAGAAATTCGTTAACTTGGAAGCAACTAAGTAGAGCTTAGTAGTTCCTGCTTTCAGAAAACAGAAGTGGATTTGAATCATACCTGAGACGTGTAAGTTAAGTGCAAGGAGACCATTTAAACATTAGAGGATATTTAAATTTTGTAATAGGCTACTATGGAAAATTGTAATTATTTTTTCTTCTTTTACTATGGCTAAAATACAGAGTATATATACTTCTTTCCAGGGAGCTGGACTAGGTGACCTCTGAATATATAATACAAAGTACTGAACAAGAAATTTTTTTTTTTTTTTTTTTTATTAATGTTATGATAGATTACAACCTTGTGAGATTTCAGTTGTACATTTTTGTTAGTCATGTTGTGGGTACACCACTTCCCCCTCCGTACCCTCCCCCCACCCCCCCTTTTCCCTGGTAACCACCAATCAGATCTCCTTCTCAATATACTAATTTCCACCTATGAGTGGAGTCATATAGAGTTCGTCTTTCTCTGACTGACTTATTTCGCTTAACATAATACCCTCGAGGTCCATCCACATTGTTGTGAATGGGCCAATTTCGTCTTTTTTTATGGCTGAGTAGTATTCCATTGTGTATATATACCACATCTTCTTTATCCAATCATTAGTTTCTGGGCATGTAGGCTGGTTCCACGTCTTGGCTATTGTAAATAATGCTGCAATGAACATAGGGGTGCAACGGACTCTTGAGATATCTGATATCAGGTTCTTAGGATAGATACCCAGTAATGGGATGGCTGGGTCATAGGGTATTTCTATTTTTAACTTTTTGAGAAATCTCCATACTGTTTTCCATAGTGGCTGTACCAGTTTGCATTCCCACCAACAGTGTATGAGGGTTCCTCTTTCTCCACAACCTCTCCAACATTTGTCGTTCTTGGTTTTGGATGTTTTTGCCAATCTAACGGGGGTAAGGTGATATCTTAGTGTAGTTTTGATTTGCATTTCCCTGATGATTAGCGATGATGAACATCTTTTCATGTGTCTATTGGCCATATTCATATCTTCTTGGAGAAATGTCTGTTCATGTCCTCTGCCCAGTTTTTGATCGGGTTG